ACAGGACATCAACCAGGGACAGGAAGGCAGAGGACATTTTGCACCAGAGTAAGAAGGTCATTCAGGACAGATGACCCACCAAAGCTACTGCTTTACAATCAGAATAATAATATAATTAGAAAGATAAAAATATATTGTGTGTAATTTCTTGTATTTTTAAATGAAATGTGATTTAGTGTGATAAGGTGTGGTAAGGTGTGGTAAGGTGTGATAAGGTGTGGTGGGTCAGACTTTAGTCTTTCCTCTTGAAGAGATTAAACATTAACTACAGAATTATGAGCTGCTACAAAATGTCGGCATTAATTTCAGCTTTTTTTCCAAACTTAAACTTGAAAACATTTCTTACTGTGTAGAGAATGAAAACATTACATTAATATATTTTTAATACCATCATGTCCACATTGCTGTTAAAGTTTCAGTAAATGTGATAAATATACATAAAGTTTCGTTTTTCATGTTCAGATGTTGTGATTAAATATTAACCAGGTTTTGCTCTGTTCTCAGTAATAAAACAATATCCAGGCTATGAATCCTGCTGTGAATCTGCACTATATTCTCCGGAGGATTTGGTTTCACATCGCTAGAGATAATTATGAGTGTTAGCATGGTTTCTATTTGACTTAAAAAATATTTAAAACATTTTGTATTAGTTCATTAAGCATCAACTAATGTATGAGAATAATTGTTATTGAAACATCATCATTCTGAGGACTTTGACCACAAAACGCAGTGAAAAGAGGAACTAGAACGTCACTAAAAAGGTATTTTCATTCATTTATTCTCTCATTTCTTATTGTTTCCCATAACTTCCTATTTGTTTACATACACTGTTAATAGTACAATGAAGCTTGTTTTTATGATAATAGAAAAATGTACGTTTCTGGAGCTGGCAATAAAATCACGGCAGCTTGAAGGACAAACTTTTGCTTCAGCAAGTCGAAGCAAAACGTCAACATGTTCAAGTCTGATAGTCATGCAGACATTTTCTGTGTAGAATAAAATTTCTCAAAGAAATTGTGGCAGTACATTTAACTCATATGCAGCTTTGTAAAGTTTTTAAATTTAGTCAAATCCATGAAAAACAATAAATCAATAAACAGATTGACATTGTTTGTTAGTAAATATTTTCAAGCTTTAAGTTTCTGTCTGTGTGTTTCAGTTTTCGAGTCTCCAGGATGATTCAAACCGAGATGGATTCATTTCTGGTCTCTTTATCAGCATATTTATCTTGATTCACCTCAGTGAAGGTAACATCTTTACAGGAATGAAGTTTCAGGTCTCAGACATGAACTTGGGGACAAATTTAGTTTCATAAAGAAAAACTTCAGACTTTATTTAGACATGCAAGTTTAATTAATTTTATTAAGCAGGAGCTGGTGTGAAAGTTTCAGCTCTGACAAGTGATGAGTTTCTGCAGAACACAGATAAAAAACAATCAAACTTTATCTTAAACACAATGCAGCTGGTATTGATATTTTGTTAGTAATGTAGCAGATTTTTCATGTAGAAACTTGTATTTTTTCTCAGGCTTGTAGGCTCAGACAAAATAAGGTTTCAAATATACAGAATATGCAGAAAAAGTATTTGTTTTTGAGAATTTGTCACCAGTTACATCCTGAAATCGTAAATGTTGTGATTCTCAGGTCAGTCGCAGGAGCCGGTTTTGCCTCTGACAATCAGAGCGATGCCGGGGGACGACGTCGTCCTGCCGCATCGTGTGGACCCTCCTCTGGACCCGACTCAGTTCACAGTGGAGTGGGGCAGGCCAGACCTAAAACCCAGATTTGTGCATGTTTGGCACAACCAGAAGGAATATTTAGCCGACCAAAACAAACTGTTCAAGGGAAGAACGTCGCTGTTCAATGACAAACTGAAGGACGGAAACTTTTCTCTGAAGCTGTCTGATGTGAGACACTCTGACAACGGAAGATACAGATGTTACATCCCAAAAGAGAAAACAGAATATTTTATCAATCTTATTGTTGGTGAGTAAACCAAACAATAAACCCAGTCCTACATTTATCTTACCAGGACTGGTTACAGCCTTATTAAAACCAAACTGGTTCACATTGAGACACATGAAGTAGAAAGAAATTATGCTAGAAGTAAATGATAATGAAGAAGAAGAATGCTATTCAGTCAAATGAATGTACAACGTGGCACAAAACAAACAGTAAAAGCATTTAACTATCAATCAATATTAAGATCAAAATGCTGAATTTGATGTGACTCTAAAACCTTGCAGGACATATTTTTACTGCATAATCTTCCCTGTCCTGTGATCACCAGGCTCCGTCTCCTCACCTGCTGTCAGTGTATCTGGACTGGATGTGAGCAGCAGTGGAGTGATGCTGGACTGCAGCGCTGCAGGCTGGTATCCAGAACCTGAGCTGCTCTGGCTGGACGCAGACGGAAACATCATGTCTGCTGGACCTGCAGAGAAAAGCTCCGATCCTGATGGCGTTTACACCGTTAGCAGCAGAGTGACTGTAGAGAAGAGAAACTACAACAACTTTACCTGCAGAGTCCAGCAGAGAGACATCAACCAGAGCAGAGAGACACACATTCATGTTCCAGGTAGAAAATAAAACATTTGAACCATTAATAGTCCAGATATTTCAGTAACGGTTCTGTTTCTGTGTTTGGTCAGATGATTTCTTCATTTATGAGTCCAGCTGCTCCGTTTCTATCAGCTTCAATGTCATTTTGGTCATCATGTTGGTTCTTGGAGCCGCTTTTGATTTGGATGAAGAAACAAAACAAAAAGAGTGAGTATGATTTATATATGTGTAGAAAACTGTTTTTATTCTTTGTGTAGGATCTGCACTAACAATCTGTATCACATCTTGTTTCTACAGAAAACAAGAAGTTAAAGAAAGTCGCACAGAAAGTCAGTGAAGATCAACAGAACCTCATCACAGCAGCAAAACTAGAGGAGGAGATAAAAAAGAGCAACAAGGAACAGAAAGTCATTGATCAGCAGATTTATGCATTAATGAAGATGTCAGAGGAACTAAAGGAGCAGAAAAAACAACTTGATGATCAAACATTGGAGGCAACAAAAACGATGGAGGAGGATGAGAAGAAGTTTAAGGTTATTGATGATGAAATAAACCAGACAGGAAACATGATGGAAAAAAAAGCAAAAGGATATTTAGAGCTGAAGACAATTATAGTGGAGAGCACAGAGAAAATGATGAAGAGAAAGCAAAACCATCAAGAGGTTGGATTTATGACAGATAAACTAATAAAGAAAACAAACGATGAAATTAAGAAACTGACGGAGAGAAAACAGGAGATAGAAAATCATAAAAATGAAATAAAAAAACAACTTGGTCAAAAAGTGACATAAGAGTAAATCTGATGTCATGAGAGAAATAAATGAACTTTTCATTTGTTCTGCAACATTTTGATGAAAGAAACATTTCATCAGGTTCAAACTCAGCAGATTTACTGCAAACATTGAGACTTTCTGTCACTAAAGTTTAGTGACAGAAAGTTCAGTGAAAAACTGCTGCAACTCAGAGGACAAAATACTAACAGCACCGAAAATATGACAATTTATGACAATCAGCTTTATAAACTTTGTATTTACTAAATTACATAAAGAAACTCATGAAATGTATCTCAAAATAAATCAATGACAATTGTGTAATTTGATTTATACTGAATAAGCTCACTGCTGGAAGGTTGTTTAAATAATGTTGATTTTTTTCAATGTATCTTCTTACTTATAAATAAATCATATTTTGTTTTCCTTTCATTGATGAGACACTCAGAAATAAAACATGTCAAATGTGGCAGTTATTACACATAAAAATAAAACTAAACAGTCTTTTCTGAAATAATGGAGTTTTTATCATTTTTTTAATAAATCTAACATCTCACCCTAAATTTTTTTAAATTAATATTTAAATTTGAATTTTTTTTTTTACCATAAAAATCATCATAAAGCTTCATCTGTTATCAGACTTTTCTGTTTTACTTCATCAGTTTCACATCAGTGTAGAATAATTTTAGCTTTTCTTTCAGTTTAGTAAAAATGATAAGCTGTTAATTGGAGGTTAATATTGAATGTTGTTTTCTAAAGTCATGCAGAAAGAGGAAAACAGTTATGGAGGTTAAACCTGACAGGTTTTATGATGATATGAACATTTCTAGTTATAAATAAGTCAGTTCTTGAAACTCTGGTGTTGCTGTTAACAACCAGCTGTAATAAATCAGCAGCTGCTTCTTCACTTTGATCAGCTCAGATAAAATCAAATTTAACTGAAATAAACTCCTGTTTGGTTTTAAATTACCGGTAATTAATAAAACTATTCATAAAAATGTTTCTTAAAGATCCTGAAGTCAAACTGTGTATTTTATTGCCGATAATAGAGAAACTTTGCTAATTAGTTGTTAAACCATTTATTTAAAATATTGTTTACTTTTATTGTTTATTTTCAAAGTCATAGATTTTAATTTCAGTTTTATCTTAACATTAAAAGCTAATTTGACTTTTTTAGAGAGAAAAAGGTGATGGAACCTATAGAGATACAAATGATGAGAACAATGGAACAAAATTAGGTTGTTAAGAAAATAACTTACTTTGGTCTGAAGCAGAGCAAAGTACTAAAAAAACATCTAAAATGGAGTAACAAATCAGTAAACTTGACCTGAACTGAAGTGAAGTGAAGTGAAGTGAAGTGAAGTGAAGTGAAGTGAATTGAATTGAATTGAATTGAATTGAATTGAATTGAATTGAACTGAACTGAACTGAACTGAATTGAATTGAACTGAACTGAACTAGGCTCTGGGACCATTGACACTGGAAAACATGAAGTTAAAGGAACCATAATGGGAGAAAAAACATTCATGAAAACTCTTGGAAATCTGAAATCTGAACATAATCTTTCTCAGAAGATAAGAAGACATTTTCGGATTAGTGAAGTGAAAACCTTTAGTTTATTGCTGGACTTTGACCCGGTTGATTATGAGACTCTTAGGTTTGCTGAGCCAAACTGAGTTGATCTGCCTTCATTGCAAACAGCAACGCTTTTAGAATATCACATGTGAAACTACAGGTAATACCTCATTTTATCTTGTTTTATTTAGTTTACTCATGTCTGTCACTAAAAAATCTAAATTTTCACTTCATTAATCTTTGATACTTTTGAAATCTTGTCTTTTAAAGACAAGATTTTGAATTAATGTTACCTGCTTTCTGTATCTAAACTTGTGTTGTTTTTTTCTCATGTAGCATTTTGCATAACAGCATCTGAACTTCAGAGTCGTTCCTCCAAAGTCTGATCCTGCTGCTGCTATGAAGACTCTTGTCTCCATTTACATTTTGTTGTGTCTCCTTTCCTCTGCTGCCTGCACTTCTTCTGCTGGTGAGTTTTTTATGTTTGTTTTATCATGAGATCTAAACTTTTGAGATGATTTTCCAGCATCCTTCCTGCTTTCTGGGTATTTTTGGGAATGCAGCACATATCTGTTTAAACTAGTTTTAACTTGTACTTTTTAACATTATCGGTTGATTTTACAGCTTCTGCTTGTGTTTTCAAGCATGTTTCATTATTTCAATCAGGAGAGACTCAGATGAGAATGAAAGCGATTAGAAAGTTAATTAAGTCTTTGGCGCTCGGGCCCCGGCTAAGGACATCGAGCTGACGCGATAAGCTCGGATGAGCATTCCCGATGCTGATAGGAATGTCATCCCCCTGGGACCCGACCTCGTGGTGGAGGTCAGTGAATGAGTATGCCTGGGAGCCTGGACGGTGGAGGTGGAGAAGGGGTGGAGGTGGGCTGAGCGCAGACTCGGGAGCGTCTGATGGGGAAGGAAGGGCCGAGGACGCGGCTAAGCAGCTGTACGCGAGGAATCACCAAGAAAGGGATCCGCTGGGATGGCTTGCTGGGAAGCTGGGGCATGCGAATGAACGTGTTGAGCGCAGCAGCTAAGGCTAGAATAATAAATTAGAATGGGAAACTGAAAAATAAGGAATACCATTACGATGCATGACAAGGGACTGAGATTGGAAGTAGATGGTGTAGGCCAGATTTGGAATGGACTGAACAAAGAGAAATACCTTAGCGGCAAAACGTTAAAACAATTGGGGCCGCAACAGGAGATGATGAGTTGATCGATGCCATTTCGTGACGTGGGGTGGATGAGGAGATTTGGCACAATGGTTCAGGCATGACGGTTTGTGGAGAGAGACGATGAGGGATGCTTGCAGAAATTATCTCTGGGAAAGCAGGTTACAGCAGTGGAGAAGATGTAAATACTGAGCAAGCTACGGAATAAGCTGCGGAGACCAGGAAATGACGTATCACTTCCGTCTCTTCTGCTTGCTGCGATTAAGAGTTTGTGCACTGGGGAGCAAAGTCAGCTTTAATGAAACTCTTTAAAGTTGCTCTTGACACTGCTGCAGTTTCCCCGACGCCAATGCCATCGTCGAAATAAAATATGACGTAAATTTCAGAGAAATAGTGTCAAGAATACGACATGGAAGAAGGGATGGACTGGAATGCTATCATGCTGATTTTGGACGATCTTGGATGAGAGATCAGACTTGAAAGCACCGGATGGGACATGGGCTTGAAATCATGGAATACGGGACCGTTTGCTTGCTAGCGGAGAACGGACCTGTCTCCGGACAGATAGCGGGGCACAATGAATCGACATAGCAGGACATTTGCCATGACATCAGTAGCCAACATGAAACTCATAATGGGGTTAAGGTGCTGAAAAGGTAGCCCGTCCCCTAACAGCTATGTTGCCTTACTGACTCAGTCGGATGGGGGAGGGTAAGGGCGGGGTGAGAAAATAACTGCGTAAAGTTCTGCTTTTGCTGTAGCGCCATAATTCTAGCATGCGCCTGCACAGGCAAGGGGCTGCCTGCAATGACCCAACGACGAATGGACCGATATAACTGCCAAAGTGGAGGACAAGGATGCGAAGAACAGGAGCCCGTATTGCATCGAGTGAATATAGGAACGGCGGGGTGTTTGACTGTGGGTAAAATAAGAGAAGGGGATGTTTCATGAAGACCTGGTGAATTAGCGATGCCAGACCATTCAGGTCATTGTTTGCTCAGCACTGCATGTCGGAATGGAGCGTGAAAATGCTGCGATCGGCCGCCATGCTTAGAATCTGAAAAAACTTTTGTAAGTCAAAACAGAACACAAACTTAAATGTGAGGCTAAACCACCTTCTATTTAAAATTGCCTCGATAAGTGGTAACTTGAACTCAGGAGCGATGATGGCTCTTGACGAGCGACAATGTTCGACAATCGGGATTATTAATCAGCTTCACGGGCTGACGAGAACAGCTCCGCAGCGCACGCTGGAGCGACTGAAGCAAGAGTCACGATTAGGTTAATGGTAAAATTATACCCAGTTTTGCGTATTCTGAATGACTTTTTTTTTTTGTAATAGTAATGGGTTGGAGGACCCATTACGCTGTGGTATCTCAATGCTGGCGTCAAAGGTGGCATGATATATAGTGCAGCTAAAGAAGGCTGTGCACGAACTGCCCACTAGTTATCCAATATAGAAGCGGAGAAGTAAATGCGGACCATGAAGACTCGTGACGTCAGACAGGCTTGCTTGTGTGACTGAGTGCGAAATGAGTTATCACATGAGCGGATAAGCCTGCATCGACGTGGCTGCTGACAGGGGGGGATGTTTAAGCGTTCATACAGGCAAAAGTCCTAAGCATCGAAACGCAGCCAGGGTGGCACATACAAATAAAACCCGCTAGATCGGGAAGGGATGGACTAAATGAACGATTCGCGTTCTTAGCATTTCAAAACATGAGAAGATACATCTCACCCCGGAAGCCCGAGGCAGGCGCGGCGTGATGACTCCGATGGGAGCGGCTGGTGTGCGGCTGATGATCGGCTGGTGTGCGGCTGATGATCGGCTGGTGTGCGGCTGATGATCGGCTGGTGAGCGGCTGATGAGCGGCTGGGGAGCGGCTGGGAGCGTCTGATGGGGAAGGAAGGGTCGAGGACGCGGCTAAGCAGCTGTACGCGAGGAATCACGAAGAAAGGGATCCGCTGGGATGGCTTGCTGAGAAGCTGGGGCGTGCGAATGAACGTGTTGAGCGCAGCAGCGAAACGGAAGACACCTTGGATGGACGTCCTTATGAACTGGGGCGTGGTCGGTGATTGGCTGCGACATGGCTAAGGCTAGTGATGATAGGTCGTCAGTGATTAGCGGGAAGCGCCTACTGAAAGCTGCGGGTGGAGCTAAAGAGTCTTCCAGATTGAATTTACGCCTAGGCTCCATTTTAAAAATAAAAGTATTTATTACAACTTATTTTACAAAATGTATTTTTTTTATAATTTTAATAGAAGAGTTTGAACAAATGAGCTAAAAACATTTTTCACTTGCAGGCTTATTATTTATTTAAGAAGACAATATGGTTTTATATGTTTGCATATCAATCAGTTTATCTTCTCTTCAGGTGATAATAGTTCATCTGAATCGGACCAGTCGTGCAAATGGAAATGGACCCCGATAGGTTTTGGGATTGGACTGACTTCCGGAGTTTCAATATCTATTATCTATGTCTACTTATGTTTATGTAAGTCACTGTCACTAATATAAAAATGTTTTTGTTAAAAGTACATAATTAAATATATAATTTTAAGTTTTAGCCATTTAGAAATACAATGAAAGTTTTATGAAAGTTTTTATGTTATGGCAGGGAACAAGTCGGGGCGAACCAGGAGCCAAGACACCGATGCAGGAAGTAATGACAGCAGTGAGCCACTTCTGACCACAAGACCTGGAAGAAGAGGAAGTAAAGAACTCATTGGACATTACACTGAGACTGAAAATGTAACAACAAGTAAGTCACTGGAGATGATAAGTGCAAGAAAATCATTTGATATAAAAGACTGCATTAAAAACAGAAAGATTGTTACATTTACAGCTGAAGTTGGATGAGAAAAGACGTCCATCATTTGTCTATATGAAGCCAAATTAAGTCAGAACTGGACGTTGTGATTGGACGGCTGAATTATGGTTCACTTATTTTGTAACTGAGTAGATTTGAATAGAAACAACTTTTGCAAAGAATTACAAATAGCCTAGTTGGATTGTCACTCTGAATAATGTACTGATCAGTTATGAGGCAAAATTAAATACTGTAAGCCTCTTATGCTGTACTTTTAGTCTTAATATACAGATATAATTCAGTATAAATGGGCCAAATGAAAGAGGAATGTTTTATTTCTGATTTATTCAAGTTTATGTCTTTTGTTTCCAACACAGTAAAGAATTTTAGCCTGACAGAGAAAATAGAAGATCAAGAAAAGAAAGAGAAAGATTTCATATCCACACTGAGATATGAAAGAGTTAAACTCAAAGGAAACAAAATCAAACTGGAAATCTGAGATGAACATTAAAATATTGGACACAGAGCTCCATGAAATCAGAATATTTTGAAAGTTCATTAGAGAAGCTTTGAACCGATATAGAGGACATTTAATGCACAATGAAAAAATTTAGGCTAAGAAAGAAAATTATTAGAAAACAGCAACTGAACAAAAACAAACGACTGGAGTTTGAAGATATTCAGATTATCAGAGTAACGAACAGAAGAGACAATTTAACTTGATGTTACTCAGAACAAAAGTATTAAATTCAGAATAAAGCAAATCAATGATGAAAGAAATCACAGGATTTATAAATATAGATTTTATTTCACTATTTCATTCTCAAAACACAGTAACATGTCTTCATTTGCAGTCAGTGGTAATTATTGAACATTTGATTATAAAATAATGTTTCTGCTAATCAGAGGTTTGTATGTTTTGTTTCCCAAACAGACGAGATCAAAAAACTGACCGAACAGAAAGAGAATCAGTTAAAGATCAGAGTTGGTGAATTGGAAGATGAACTGGAAAAAGAAAAAAGTAACTTCAGAGAAAACTTTTAAATATTTAATGTTACAGATAAATTAGTTATAAAAGACAGATTCTGCAATTCTAACATTTTGTTGATGATTCAGCAGAACTGCATTTGTTTTTCCTCATTTTTTAAAATAGTCAGAGAAGAAAAATTCAGACTAGACTAATCATAAAACAAGTCATCTGATTTTTTCAAAAAAAAAGGAAAAATAGGTGAACGCTAAATCTTCAGAAAACTGACTGCAGTATGTAGATATTCTGATCATATTCTGAGTGTCTTTTAAATTTTGTATCTTTATTTCTGACAGAGGAGAACCAGAAGCTGCAGAGGCATGAACTCCAACCCGTCAACAAGCCGTTACATGATACACTGATTAAAGTCCAAACTGAACTGGAGAAGCAGAAAGATCAGCTGCTGCAAAAAGTGAAAGACGTTGAGACTAAGAGGAAGGAAAACAAAGAGGAAGTTCAGAGAGTGGATAAAAAAATAACTGAGAGAAAAAACTCTGATGATGATAATGAGCTGATATTAGGAGAAAAAGAAGACCTGTTACAGTCTCAGTGGAAACTGGATGAGGAGAAGAAACTTTATGAAAGACAGATACTGAACATAGAGAAAGCTTTGGAACCTATAGAGATACATATGATGAGAACAATGGAGAAAAACAAGAATGTTTAGAAAATAACAAGAAAATGTGTCTAAAACAGAACAAAGGACTAAAAAACTATTGTGAAGTGACTGATCCTATTTTCTTTCTGTTTTCCCCACATTCATTTAACTAAAAATATTCTTTATTGAACATTTATAATGATTGGAACATGAATTATTATAATGTTGATGACAAAACAGTGGATTCATTGGAATCCTATGGAAACTGAAATTATTACCAATAGCTGATGACAAATGAACAAATAATTACTTCCCTTAAAACTGATCAAAAGTGTTTCTCATGAGAATTCATTTTTATATTTTCATATATTTTGCTGGTTTATATTTTGTTTCGTTGGTGTTAGCTAAGATAAACTTTTATTTTTATTCTGGGTTGTTTGTAATGTTGTCATAATCTCTTCCTGAATCTAATCCAGTGTTTAATCTGTGAAGAGTCAAAATATGGAATAAAACAAACATTAAATATAATCTTGCATCTTTATTCTCTAAGTCTTGTTGACCTCTGCAGGGAAAATGGAGACATTTATTCCAGAAATGTTGCATTGTTTTTGTGTTGCTCTATAGAAATAATCATCCCTGCATGTTGCATCTGGTTCAGTGAATTCAGATGAATAGTTTAGTGACTGATTTTACTATTTATTCACATTTTAGAGCATCAATACGGATTTAAACAATAATATCTTTGTTTCCCTGAACATTTGGTTGGACCACAGTTCATTTTTATTGTAACTTGTAAAGTATTAGATATTAATACATGAAGGCTTTATTTCCTATAAAACTACAGGAAGAGTTGGAATAAAATCTTTATTTTTAGTAATATATCAACAGTGGATAAAAAAACATGAATATCTTTTTTTGCACATTTACATTTTAGTTTCACTTTCAAACTGACTGGTTTAAGGTTTAAGTATTGCTCTCTGCACCATAATAAAACAATAAGAAGTTTTTAAATACATCATTTTGTTAAACTTTTACTCATTTTACAGCCAGTCCAAAGCAAATGAAACTTATTTGGGACACTAGATTTGAAAAAAGACAAAAAAACCTTTGATGTTTGAGAGCATCCAAGGATTATAAATCCTGGTTCAGGTTGTCAGGGAGTTTTTTACGTCTTAAAGTGTCAGATAAATATTCTGACCAAAGGTTTATAGTGAAGAACAGAATGTTACTATAACACAAAGAGGAGACAGAGAGATGAATAAGTTACTAAGATGAATGAAAGTCAATACAAAGTTGATATATTTTTTCTTTTGATAGAGGAGAACTCTGACCTGCAGAGGAACAACAAGTTGTTATTTGACACAATAAATGCAGTAAAACATGAACTGGAGAACCAGAAGGATCAGCTTTTTTGGAGAAAAACAAAGATGAAGTTCAGATGGGGGAGAAAAAATATCAGAGAAAAAACTGATGACAAGGAGTTTTTATTAAAAGAAAAGGAAAAGTTATTAAGGTCCAGAGGAAACTGGATGAAGAGAAGAAACTTCATGAAAGAAAGATACTGAACATAGAGAAGGTGATGAAACCTATAGAGATACACATGATGAGAACAATGGAACAAAACTAGGTTGTTTAGAAAATAACTTACTTTGGTCTAAAACAGAGCAAAGTACTAAAGAAAACATCTAAAATGGAGTAACAAATCAGTAAACTTGACCTGAACTGAACTGAGCTGAGCTGAGCTGAACTGAACTGAACTGAACTGAATTGAATTGAACTGAACTGAACTGAACTGAACTGAACTGAACTAGGCTCTGGGACCATTGACACTGGAAAACATGAAGTTAAAGGAACCATAATGGGAGAAAAAACATTCATGAAAACTCTTGGAAATCTGAAATCTGAACATAATCTTTCTCAGAAGATAAGAAGACATTTTCAGATGAGTGAAGTGAAAACCTTTAGTTTATTGCTGGACTTTGACCCGGTTGATTATGAGACTCTTAGGTTTGCTGAGCCAAACTGAGTTGATCTGCCTTCATTGCAAACAGCAACGCTTTTAGAATATCACATGTGAAACTACAGGTAATACCTCATTTTATCTTGTTTTATTTAGTTTACTCATGTCTGTCACTAAAAAAATCTAAATTTCTACTTCATTAATCTTTTGATACTTTTAAAATCTTGTCTTTTAAAGACAAGATTTTGAATTAATGTTACCTGCTTTCTGTATCTAAACTTGTGTTGTTTTTTTCTCATGTAGCATTTTGCATAACAGCATTTGAACTTCCCAGTCGTTCCTCCAACGTCTGATCCTGCTGCTGCTATGAAGACTCTTGTCTTTTACATTTTGTTGTGTCTCCTTTCCTCTGCTGCCTGCACTTCTTCTGCTGGTGAGTTTTTTATGTTTGTTTTATCATGAGATTTAAACTTTTGAGATGATTTTCCAGCCTCTTTCCTGCTTTCTGGGTATTTTTGGGAATGCAGCACATATCTGTTTAAACTAGTTTTAACTTGTGCTTTTTAACATTGTCGGTTGATTTTACATCTTCTGCTTGTGTTTTCAAGTATGTTCCATTATTTTAAAATAAAAGTATTTATTACAACTTATTTTACAAAATGTATTTTTTTCATAATTTTAATCGAAGTGATGAACAAATGAGCCAAAAACATTTTTCACTTGCAGGCTTATTATTTATTTAAGAAGACAATATGGTTTTATATGTTTGCATATCAATCAGTTTATCTTCTCTTCAGGTGATAATAGTTCATCTGAATCGGACCAGTCGTGCAAATTGAAATGGACCCCGATAGGTTTTGGGATTGGACTGACTTCCGGGGTTTCAATATCTATTATCTATGTCTACATATGCAGGTGTTTATGTAAGTCACTGTCACTAATATAAAAATGTTTTTGTTAAAAGTACATAATTAAATATATAATTTTAAGTTTGAGAAACTATTAGCCTTTTAGAAATACAGTGAAAAGTTTCTTTAAGTTATTATGTTACGGCAGGTAACAAGTCGGGCCAAACCAGGAGCCAAGACACCGAGGCAGGAAGTAATGACAGCAGTGAGCCACTTCTGACCACAAGACCTGGAAGAAGAGGAAGTAAAGAACTCAGTGAATATTCCACTGAGACTGAAAATGTAACAACAAGTAAGTCAGTGGAGATGATAAGTGCAAGAAAATAATTTAATATAAAAGACTGCATTAAAAACAGAAAGATTGTTACATTTACAGCTGAAGTTGGATGAGAAAAGACGTCCATCATTTGTCTATATGAAGCCAAATTAAGTCAGAACTGGACGTTATGATTGGACGGCTGAATTATGGTTCACTTATTTTGTAACTGAATAGATATTAATAGAAACAACTCTTGCAAAGAATTACAAATAGCTTACAAATACAAATGACTCTGAATAATGTACTGATCAGTTATGAGGCAAAATTAAATACTGTAAGCCTCTTATGCTGTACTTTTAGTCTTAATATACAGATATAATTCAGTATAAATGGGCCAAATGAAAGAGGAATGTTTTATTTCTGATTTATTCAAGTTTATGTCTTTTGTTTCCAACACAGTAAAGAATTTTAGCCTGACAGAGAAAATAGAAGATCAAGAAAAGAAAGAGAAAGATTTCATATCCAGACTGAGAAATGAAAGAGTTAAACTCAAAGGAAACAAAATCAAACTGGAAATCTGAGATAAACATTAAAATATTGGACAGAGCTCCATGAAATCAGTTACATTTTGAAAGTTCATTAGAGAACCTTTCAACCAATATAGAGGACATTTAATGCACAATGAAAGAATTTAGGCTAAGAAAGAAAATTATTAGAAAACAGCAACTGAACAAAAACAAACGACTGGAGTTTGAAGATATTCAGATTATCAGAGTAACGAACAGAAGAGACAATTTAACTTGATGTTACTCAGAACAAAAGTATTAAATTCAGAATAAAGCAAATCAATGATGAAAGAAATCACAGGATTTATAAATATAGATTTTATTTCACTATTTCATTCTCAAAACACAGTAACATGTCTTCATTTGCAGTCAGTGGTAATTATTGAACATTTGATTATAAAATAATGTTTCTGCTAATCAGAGGTTTGTATGTTTTGTTTCCCAAACAGACGAGATCAAAAAACTGACCGAACAGAAAGAGAATCAGTTAAAGATCAGAGTTGGTGAATTGGAAGATGAACTGGAAAAAGAAAAAGGTAACTTCAGAGAAAACTTTTAAATATTTAATGTTACAGATAAATTAGTTAAAAAGACAGATTCTGCAATTATAACATTTTGTTGATTCAGCAGAAATATATTTATTCTTCCTCATTTTTTAAAATAGTCAGAGAAGAATGATTTAGACTAGACTAATCATAAAACAATTCCTCTGATGTTTAAAAAAAAAAAAGAAAAATAGGTGAACGCTAAATCTTCAGAAAACTGACTGCAGTATGTAGATATTCTGATCATATTCTGAGTGTCTTTTAAATGTTATATCTTTATTTCCATCAACAGATGAGAACCAGAAGCTGCAGAACAAAGTCAAGACTGAACTGGAGAAGCAGAAAGATCAGCTGCTGCAAAAAGTGAAAGACGTTGAGATTAAGAGGAAGGAAAACAAAGAGGAAGTTCAGAGAGTGGAAAAAAATAACTGAGAGGAAAAACTCTGATGATGATGATGATGATGATGATGTTTTATTAGGAGAAAAAGAAAAACTGTTAAAGTCCCAGTGGAGACTGGATGAGGAGAAGAAACTTTATGAAAGACAGATACTGACCATAGAGAAAGCTTTGGAACCTATAGAGATACATATGATGAGAACAATGGAGAAAAACAAGAATGTTTAGAAAATAACAAGAAAATGTGTCTAAAACAGAACAAAGGACTGAAAAACTATTGTGAAGTGACTGATCAGCAAGATTTACTGAAACTAGATTATTATTGGTTCTGCTTCTCTTTAGTGTTTCAGCAACATTTTAAATCTCCTCTCAGACCCACTGTCTGCTTCAAAAAGGCTTTTATTATTTTACAATTTATGATCTGATTCTAATGAAATAATAACAGCAACAACCAGAATATTTAACCAGGAACCTAAACTATTCAAGATGAAATTAACTGATGCAACATAGACAATAAAAACAACTGCTGAAGACTGAATCAATAATATTATTTTGTTAAAAATGTCAAATGTAATAAAGGTTTTAACATCAAATGTATAATTGTAAAGCTCATATCTCCAGTTCAGGTTATTGATCATGTTAGATGCTTATTAAGCTGTTTAGTAATTTGTTTGCATATTTGTTGCATATTCAGAAAAATATTGTAAATATGAAATTGATTAAAGAGGCAGAAGATGCACCAGCAGTGTCATGTTTTACTTATCTAAGGAATATTAAAAAGTAAAATTTATCAAAAAATAACTTTATTATGTAAAGTTTTTTTTTTCAAATAAATCTCTCTTCCAACTTTTAGTAAAAACAGACAAAGACTAATGGAAGCATACACACACACACACACACACACACACACACACACACACACACACACACACACACACACACACAAACACCCACACACACACACACACCCACACACACACACACACACGCATGCATATCAGATTCTAGAACGAGACTCATTTTGTCATGAATTCTAAATTTGTATAATTTAGTAAACATAAGTCCTGTATATGTACTGTTTGTGTGTGTGTGTGTGTGTGTGTGTGTGTGTGTGTGTGTGTGTGTGTGTGTGTGTGTGTGTGTGTGTGTGTGTGTGTGTGTAGGTGTGTGTATGGGTTTAGGTTAAGAATTTTTATGGTCTATTCACTGACGTGAATAAAACCAACAGTTTTCATTTAGATTGAGGCGCCGGACGCCGTTTTCTAGTCTCAGTCTGAGGAACTGGAAATTTAACTGTTTGAAACTTTACTGGTCAAATTAGTTATTATGTTGCTGTAGTGTGAAAATTAAACTTTTATAACGTATTATTATGATAAAATACATCTCATGTATATGTTACACAATGTTACCATAGGGCAAAATAATGGAAAATAAACCATAAACTGTCGTGGACACGCCTTGGTTCGTCACAGAGCACAGAGGTTAAAGTTCAAATCAGAGCACTTTGATCCACTGCTTCATGTTGGAGTTTATTCAACAACTTTCCTTTGCAGAGCAGGTATGAATGTCTCTTAATTTGCTATGCAGTTCTTATTTATATATTTATTATTTAAATTACAGGGTTTTACAATGAAATTTAAAATTTTCTAACAGTAACCAGTTTTTGTCAAATGCAGTGATTCTCATAAATATTTAAAAACTTAAGAAATATACATTTTACAGACGATTATCAGATTTCAGACACATTTTAGAAACTTTAAATACTTTTATTGTTTTGAAGTTGTAACAGTTTTTTCCATCGCAGGTCTCCTGATCGTCATGTTTTATAAAACTATTTATGTTGCTGTGTCTGTCCTGGCTGTGACCACATTCACATGTAAGTCTTATATATGGATATAAATATATACATAAATGTAAATAAATGTTGAAATGATCTCAGTATGGATTGTATTGGATTTTTACTCTGATTAGTTTTAAAAGTCAGATTTTTTTTCATTGTTTTTCTTAGACTTAGACGTTTATCCAAAGGATGTTTTGGCAAAAAACTATAAACTCAGCCGAATGTCACCATCACAACAGGAGGTTTTGGAAAAGGTGACACAAGAACCAGAACCTGAGAAGGTATGTAAATATAACACTTTCAAATCTCTTGTTTGAAATTTGTTTGAAATTTGAACTGAATTTTTTCTTTTTTTATCAGAATATTATGAACTAAATTGAACTCATCTCATCTTATCCAGTTATGTTCTTCAGTGAATATTTCTCCCTCCTTGTTCTCATCGTTCTCCTCATTCACATTATTTCTCAGGTAAACCAGGAAGAGCTCAGCCTTATGTCACCATCAGCAGAGGATCAGCAGGAGGTTCTGGACAAGATGAAACAAGAACCTGAACCTGAACCTGAACAGGTTTGTAAATATAAGATTTTCAAAACTCTCAACTTGTTTGAAATTTTAACTGAATTTTTCTTTTAACGTATTTCAGATTATGCACCAAGTTCAAGAAGACGAAATTATCTTGACATATTCAGTCTTTATTACACCTGTCCCTCCTTCTGTTGTCATCCTTCTCCTCATTCACTCATATGTAGGTGAGCTATGATCTTAGCTTGGCTTTAATCAGAGAGGATTTCTTGTTCTTAATAAAATTAGACTTCATTTATTCTGGGCATTTGTTAAAGTAAATAACATTGTGTTGTTATTTTAGTTTACATAGTGGCATTTTCTTCCTCTGTCACCATTGGGATCATCCTTGTTGTTAAAGGTAAGTTAATTCCTTATATTCATATTTACCTTAACAGTATTTTGTCTTTGACTCATATTTATCAAATTAAGTTAAAGTAATAATTTGCTTTATTATTAGAGCTTTTTTGATCTAAATGTCATTTTAAATATTATGTAGAAACTCATCAGTTAAAAATCAACTGTCTCAACAATCTGAATTTTATTTGATAAACAACATAACAGATATAATAAAAATGAGCTCAATGTAAAGAAAATAAGAGATTTAGAACTGATATCTATTTTATTCCCAAACGGAATAATTTGGATTAAAATTGATGAACAGATTTTGCAGCATTACAATCACTTCTAGTCTGACGGTAGTCATGATAACCTGTGAGACACAGTGCTTTTATTTCTAAATGTTCCACAGTGATAATTATACATATTCTATTAATCTCTGTCATATTTTGAAAGTTGGATTACAAGATATTATTTCTGTAGTGTTAAAGTTTGTTTCACTTTTCTACAACAGTCAGGAAAGATGAGCAGAAACAACAAGGTACAAATAAAGAGGAACAAGATAACCAGGAGAAAGAGGCTCATAAGATGAAAATAGGAAAAGGTAAAGTTCAACATTTCATGCCAAAAGTGTTCAAAGAAATTCATAATATTAGAGAATGTCCTACATAAAATCAAAACCTTTTCTGTGAAATTATAATTAATCAAGAATTGCCTGGTATTGTAAAACTTTATTAATGACATGCATGGGATCAAATCCAATTTTAATCAGAATTTTAAAGTCTAAATTCTTGACATCAGAGATGGATAATTGAGATTAAATGCAGAATGTTTGATGCTATCAAACTTGAATCAAACAATCTGTGAAGCAAGTCGGTCACTGCTCTCCTTATGCATTTCTATGGGCAGGCCCCAATTATCATGATTATTATCATGAACAAATGACTGTAAATATTCTTGTAATCAAAGAATTGAGGTTGGAAGTTTGTATGTTTTGTTTCCCAAACAGAAAAGATCAATAAACTGACATATAAAAAGAAAGAAACAGAACAGAAAGAGAATCAGTTAAAGACCAGACTTGCTGATCGAGAAGATGAACTGAAAACATGCAAAGAAGAACTGGAAAAGGCAAAAGGTAACCTCAGACACAAAGTTTAAATATTTAGTTATGGATGAATTAGTTACAAAATACAGAATCTGGGATTGTAACAGTTTATTAATGATTTGCAGGTTTTCCTCAGTGTATCATAAGCCTGGCGGGCCACCAGGTGGGGCTTTACCTGTTCCCCCGCCAGAATTATTTTTGATTATTTTATTTAAGATTTTTTTCAGTGTTTGCATTTCTAACACTTTCTCTCTGATGATCAGGTGTTTATCTTCCAATATTTCAATTAAATATAATTATCAAGTGATATTTTTAAATTTATATTTCATTTCAAATTTTCACTCCTCCAAACTCAGGTTATGGTTATTTTCTGAACATTTGATAACAATATTTTATTTAAATTGTATTTTTACGTTTGTATCTTTTGTTTCCAACACAGTAAAGAATTTTAGCCTGACAGAGAAAATAGAAGAACAAGAAGAGAAAGAGAAAGATTTCATCTCCAGACTGAGAAATGAAAGAGGTAAACTCAAAGGAAACAAAATCAAACTGGAAATCTGAGATAAACAATAAAGTATTGGACACAGAGCTCCATGAAATCAGAATATTTTAGGTTGGAAACTAATTTGTGACAGACATTGAACTGATGTCCAGGACATTTAATGGAAAATAAAATAGAAAATGATGAATATTATGTAGAATTTAGGTTTTCCTCCAGACTAACTTGTCTTTATTTACACTCTGGTTTAATAATATTTTGATAATATGATGATGAATTATTGATTCTGCTAAACGTAATTCATTATGTTTTGTTTCCCAAACAGACGAGATCAATAAACTGACCGAACAAATGAAACAACAAGAACAGAAAGAGAATCAGTTAAAGTTCACACTTGGTGAAAAAGAGAAAGAAATCAATAAGTGGAAAAAGGAACTTGAAGAATGTAAAGAAGAACTGGAAAAGGAAAAAGGTAACCTCAGAGAAAAAGTTTAAATATTTAATGTCACAGTTAAATCAGTTATAAAAGACAGATTCTACAATTCTAACATTTGGTGATGATTCAGCAGAACTACATTTGTTTTTTCTAATTTTTTAAAATAGTCAGAGAAGAATAATTTAGACTACACAAATCATAAAACAATTCCTCTGATGTTTTTTTTTTTAAAAAAAAAGAAAAATAGGTGAACGCTAAATCTTCAGAAAACTGACTGCAGTATGTAGATATTCTGATCATATTCTGAGTGTCTTTTAAATGTTATATCTTTATTTCCATCAACAGATGAGAACCAGAAGCTGCAGAACAAAGTCAAGACTGAACTGGAGAAGCAGAAAGATCAGCTGCTGCAAAAACTGAAAGACGTTGAGACGAAGAGGAAGGAAAACAAAGAGGAAGTTCAGAGAGTGGATAAAAAAATAACTGAGAGAAAAAACTCTGATGGTGATGATCATGATGTGTTATTAGGAGAAAAAGAAGAACTGTTAAAGTCTCAGTGGAAACTGGATGAGGAGAAGAAACTTTATGAAAGACAGATACTGACCATAGAGAAAGCTTTGGAACCTATAGAGATACATATGATGAGAACAATGGAGAAAAACAAGAATGTTTAGAAAATAACAAGAAAATGTGTCTAAAACAGAACAAAGGACTGAAAAACTATTGTGAAGTGACTGATCAGCAAGATTTATTGAACTTGATTATTATTGGTTCTGCTTCTCTTTAGTGTTTCAGCAACATTTTAAATCTCCTCTCAGACCCACTGTCTGCTTCAAAAAGGCTTTTATTATTTTACAATTTATGATCTGATTCTAATGAAATAATAACAGCAACAACCAGAATATTTAACCAGGAACCTAAACTATTCAAGATGAAATTAACTGATGCAACATAGACAATAAAACAACAACTGCTGAAGACTGAATCAATAATATTATTTTGTTAAAAATGTCAAATGTAAATAAAGGTTTTAACATCAAATGTATAATTGTAAAGCTCATATCTCCAGTTCAGGTTATTGATCATGTTAGATGCTTATTAAGCTGTTTAGTAATTTGTTTGCATATTTGTTGCATATTCAGAAAAATATTGTAAATATGAAATTGATTAAAGAGGCAGAAGATGCACCACCAGTGTCATGTTTTACTTATCTAAAGAATATTAAAAAGTTAAATTTATCAAAAAATATCTTTTTTATGTAAAGTTTTTTTTCAAATAAATCTCCTCTCTTCCAACTGTTAGTAAAAACAGACAAAGACTAATGGAAGCCTACACACACACACACACACACACACACACACACACACACACACACACACACACACACACACACACACACACACACACACACACACACACATGCATATCAGATTCTAAAACGAGACTCATTTTGTCATGAATTCTAAATTTGTATAATTTAGTAAACAAAAGTTCTTTATATGTACTGTTTGTGTGTATGGGTGTGTGTGTGTGTGTGGGGGGGGTTGTGTGTGTGTGTGTGTGTGTGTGTGTGTGTGTGTGTGTGTGTGTGTGTGTGTGTGTGTGTGTGTGGGTTTAGGTTAAGAATATTTATGGTATATTCACTGACGTAATGAAAAACGATTACAAAACTGTAATTATACAGTTGTAGTATTTAGTAATAAAATATTTTATTTTAGTAGATATCATTATGAGTAAAATGTATTTCATGTATTTTTGTACATGAAATAGATGAAGATGATGAAGATGAAGGCCTTGTATGTTTTCTTTCTTTTCTGTATAACTGCTGCTTTCCTGCCAGTTGGGAAGCAGCAGTTATACAAGAAGCCACTGGGAACTGGATGCAGTGATACTTCAGTGCCCTCAGGCCTTCAGCGCAGCTGATTGGCTCACCAGATATCAGCTCCACCAATCCCTGATGAGGCCTCCTGTTTCAAATCCTCCAGTTCCAGAGAGAAGGCTGATTTTTGGTTGAGACAGTTTGACTCCTGGGATCATGAGCGCCCCCTGCCATGAGCCAAGAGAACTGCCTGCATCACCTCAAATCTGTTGTCTGCCGTTTCTGATCACTCCTCAGCACAGGCATTATGTTACACACACAGTTGGTGACAAAAAAACACTGCATACTATGTAAATAAGCTGAATTATGGAAAATCAGTTTAATTAAATGTTTTGTATCCATTTCATTGGCGACGTACAGATGTGAGATGTTGATCAATCCCAGGTGAAGCTCAGCTCACTGTTGCTTCACCAACTTCCCTTCCAACCATCTGAATGTGAAATAATGCAAAAACACAGCGATTCAAAAAAAAAGTAATCAAAATTGTTCAAGGTAAATGAAAAATCAATACTTCGTAGTACAAATCGCCAGGTGAACATAGCAATTTAAATTATTTTATCATTATATATTATTTTATTTTTCCATGATGACATGTCAGAGATGTAGACATAATGTTCTGAAAAACCAGATCTATAATCCTGAGCAGAATAGAAACTGAGGTCATGACTATAAAAATACAGAAAAACTAATTCTGACAAACTGAGAGCTACTTGAGATCACAGTAAACCAAAAGCAGAATGTGATGATCTTATCATAAAACTATAAATATTCCTTATTTTGTGTCATGGGAAATATTACAATAAGGTCACATCTGATAGTCACTGACATCCTGAAAGGGATTAAATACGATATTAACTCAGATTTTCTTTCCAATAAAACAACAAGGAGGCATAAATTGTTTTTAGTTCTGTATTTTGTTCAAATTGTAAACTTGTAAATGTTTATTGATATTGAAGGTTTCTAAGAGCAACATGTCTGCAGTTCATAAAAGTTAGAATCTGTTTCTGCACATTTACATTTTGTTTCATTTTGATGCATAGTTTAAATATTAACCAGGTATTGATCTCTGCACCACAATAAAACACTAATCAGTCCTTGAATCTCTGCATAAATTCAGATGATTTCCATGAGTGTATAAAACATCTGCTGAGTTTTGTTTAAGTTTTACTCAGAAATTAAAACATATCCAGGACATTAAACCTGGAATATCAATACACTAAGTTCTTAATAATGTTTAAGACATAATCATAAACATTATTATTATTATTGAAACAAAAACTGAGAAAAATGACAGAGCCATGAACCAACTTGTATTCAACAATATGTTAACTATGTTTTATTGTGTAATTTTTCTACACTGTATTAACAAATAAATCAGTTTTTTCTTTGCTTCTTGGTTTTGGATTATTCATTAAATAAGTTGTGTAAATGAAAGCAGGTCTGCCCATCACTCTATAAAACATGAAATATTTTGTCAAAACTTTAAAAAGTTTGTGAATTATCCTGTTGTTACTGGTCCATGTTTAATGTGTAACACTGTTTAATGTTTAATGTGCTATTCTTGGTGAAATCAGTCATTTATATTTGACCTAAATTAAGATTTCTCTGTTTGCAAAATTATCTTGATGAATGAAAACTTTTTCAAATCTTTTACAAAACTGTTGGGCTTTATTTACTCAAAATGTTATACTGGGATTTTTCACTGTGTTGAAACAGAACAATAAAAATAATATGGCAGGTTAAGTGTAATTTATTGCAGGACTTTGTCCCAGTTTATTATTGTGGTCTCAGGTTGTCTGAGGTGAGCATCGAGAACACGATCGCTAAGCTCTAAAAAGGTTTAGTTTTGTCTAGTTAGCTGCAGCTATTCAACAAAATCCAGTTTCATGTTTCATCTTGTATTTCTGTTTCTTCTCAGGTTGATTCCTGCTGGTGCTTCAGCGTTTCAACGTCCTGGTTCTGTCCTCCTGGTTCTGTCCTCCTGGTTCTGTCCTCCTGGTTCTGTCCTCCTGTTGTCATTGAGGCTGTTTTTTGTTTTAATATCTGGTGGATTCTCCTCCTCTGTGTTTTCTGCAGTTCTTCTGCTGGTGAGTTTCATTGTTTTATCTTTTAGTTTAGAATCCACAAATTATTTTGCTTTTGGATTTTTCACTGCAGAAAGAAAATGACACATCTGTGTAAACTGGTTTGCACTTCTGCATTGTTGCAGGTTTACTTTTCATGTTTTGATATTTTTCAGTCTGTTTATTCTATTGAATGGTAAATAAATGCTTTTTATATGAATCAGTACACATATGTAATTGTTTCCATCATTTTGAATAGAAGGGATTGTTCTATTCAAAGAGAAAATGTCTTTGCCATCATCATTTGTGGCTTATTGTTCACTTCTCTCCAGATAATATTTCAGCTGAAATGGACCAAAGCAACTTCCTAGAATTGATCCTGATAGGAGGAGCTGTTGCAGTCGCTATTGGTGTTACTGTTTTTATCTGTTTAAGTAAGTTATAGTTGTTGAATCTTAGTTTTGCTACAGCTACCTTTTTTGAGTTAAATTTAAAAAATGAAGAGTGTTAGCTTTGTAACAATGCAATGAAATGTTTATCTCATTATGTCTTTGTTTTTCCATGGCAGATAATAGGTCACGGCAGAACAGCCGCCAAGACATTGAGTCGAGCCCCGACCAATCAGAGCCTCTCACCGGCAGGAGTCCTGCAGAAAGAGAAAATAGACAAACTGAGACAAGCAGTAAGTTCAGCTAATATTATATGTGAAAGAGAAACATTTGATGTAAAAGATTAACTAATTAAAGAAGAACAAGATGATGAAATAAATCCATCATGAATAGCAACTGATCTGAGTGGTGAAAATGTTGCCACTCTTTTTTGTATTTGAGTAAAATTTAATAACTTTTGCAAGAAATTACAAATGGGTTCATTGGACTGTTGGCTGTTTTGCATCAAATTTCTCTGTGATGATATAATCTCTAGATTGTTTCCAATAGCAGGTGAGAATATAAATCAGCAGTGAGTTGAGACTGAATTATTGAATAACTTAAAGTAAACAAAAACAATAAATTAAAGCCAATCATTCAATGTAAAAGGTTAATTAGTTTAAAAAATAATACCTGATAGATTTTCTGTGAAATTTAGGAAAATTC